TATGCTCCTGGATACAGTATTGAAGATTCTTCTGTCAGTGGATGAATCAACTGGCTTCTAGCTAGTTAGAGGACTGCCTCTACTGTCACACCTTAGCATTTGCCATCAGATGGTAGAGTCATCCTTCTGCTTAATAGTAGGGTTAGCCTGGTAAGGGATAATACAGATTAAACAAAAGGCTCTTGGTATGTTTCACATATTCATTTGACTGTTCATACATTTTACTTGGCCTTGTAGGCTCCCAGAGAGATGTACAATTAAAATAATAATAATTGAAACTAGGGTACACAAGGAACACAGGAGCAAAATAATAGATAGAAAAAAATATATCAGAGTGGCATTCAAATTAAACATAATGGGACAAAATATACACAGAATTAAAAGCCACAAGGGATGGTGTTCATGTGTCATTTGCCATAAATAAATGCAAGGCCTGTGTGAAGAGAAGTCCTCTATTGTATTCTGCTCCACCCTTTTGGTCCTCTCTCTGGTGTCTCTAATGATCATTCCTCTGAAGGTAGCAGGACTGAGAAAAAGAAATCCTATGATGATCTTGAAGACCAAGCCAATTCAAAGAAAAGCATTCAGTCTTCCAGATCATCTAGACCCAAGTCACATAGGGCTTTGTAGGTTATAGTCAACACACTGAATAGTGTCTAAAAACAGGCCAATAGCAAATGCAGATATCACAACCAGGGAGTCATAAACTCTCTGTAATTAGCCTTATTCAGTGAAGTTTCTGAATGATTTTCCGAGACAGATGAGAATGTGTTGCACCTGTTTTGAATGTTTTGCAGACTGCCAGAAATAGTGCAAATTGAGTCCACTTTAAGGGTTAGGGTTAGTGCTAGAGAGTCATGGGAATTTTTTTTTTCTTCTGAGACATTGAGCCTTCTCTGTCAGAGAAGTCTGGTGCCATAATAAAATACAGTTCCCACTATTCCCTAACCCTTAAAGTGGACTCAATTTTCACTATTTCTGGCAGTCTGCAAAAGCAAACAGTCTCCAATTGTCTTGTTTTGGCAAGGACAGCCCAAATTGTCCTCTGTCCTCCCACTTTTTCAGCTGCTTTTAAAATGTTCAAGCTTCTCATTTCTCCCACTTTCCTGCTTTATCTTCAGCTTAGTTCAATTGCTGCAAACTGACTTTAAAAATCAAACACAGTTTGCATTCCATTAACAGGAAAGGAGAGGCATAATCTTGCTCAAGCAAAAGCAAACCTGCAGCCTCTTCTAGCTTGTTAAGTCTTTCCTCATTAATAGATTTTAACCACATTCTTATGTTTCCTGGCCACATAGAGTGATAGGTCCAAAACACACTGCAGAAATAATCCAATTTGACACTGCTTTAACTGCCCTGGCTCACTGCTAGGGAATCCTGGGAATTGTAGTTTATTGTGACACTCTGACAGAGAAGGCTAAATGTCTCACAAAAATACACTTCCCAGAATTCTCTAGCATTCAGCCAGGGCAGTTAAAGCAGTCTCAAAGTGGATTATTTCTGCAGTATGTTTTGGACTGTAGTGTCACACAGTAAGAACAGGGCCTCATCAGTGCAGGACCTCCAGATAAAGCATCGCCAGTCTCTTTTTGAATATGTCCAAAGGAGGTGACCCCAGAAGCTCTTTAGGCAATTGGTTCCATTGCCAAACCTCTCTTACTGTCAAGACATTCCTTCTAATGTTCAATCAAAATCTACTTTCTTGTAACTTCAAACCATTAGAACTGGTCCTATCCTCTGGAGCATCAGAGAACAGGCCTGCCCTCTCCTCTCTGTGACAGACCTTGAGGTATTTAAAAAGTGTTATCATTAGACTTCTCTTCATCAAGGTGAACATGCCTAGCTTTTTCAACTTTTCTTCATATGTTTTGTTCTCCATGCCTCTTATCATCCTTGTTGCCCTTTTATGAACCAGCTCCAACTTGTCTATATCCTTCTTAAAATGAGGCATCCAGACCTGAAAGCGGTACTCCAGATAAGGCCTGATCAGTGCAAAATATAGTGGGACTATTAGTTCCCCCAACTTGGAAATTATGCTTCTATTAATGCTGCCTAAAATCAGCCATCCCTCCAAAATGACTCTTGGAACCAGTAGACCATTCTAGAACTACAAATATGATAGTGGATGACATTCACATATAACAAGACATTGTCCCTCAGAAAGTTCAGGTTATAAATTTTAAATCCTGTTGAATATGGCTAAGAAATACCACATTTTACAGAAACAGAATGATTAAAAACTCTTACATTTTTCTTTATTTCAATTTTTGCTGATTCTTATGGCATGCACACACTCACAAACACACTGGTATACAGACACATATGAGAGCTTTAGAAAAGCATTACACAAACATCAGGTATGCACTTCTGGATCCCTACTGTATGAATCAGTCCCTTAACAGTTTATGATTTATGCAACTTGCCAGTGGAGAACTAGGCCATGCCAGCCTTGAAAGCACTTTAGCTTGGTTGTTTTTACTCATGAAGGACATGTTGTCCTGTAATTATTCTGTCATTTCTTAAAAAGGTAAAAACCTTAATAGGTTTGTGCAATATGTGTTTCTATGGACATGAACGAGCTGCTGTCTGAGCATATTTCATATAGCCAGAATCATTGCTCCCAACAACTTTACAAAGCATTACCCAGTTGAAGTGGACAGCTGAAAAGGTACAAAATGTTTTTAGAGTTTCTGGTTCAGGGGAAACTGCAGAGGTGTTTGGTATTACTCTCTGCACAGGGTGAAGGGCATTTTAATATATCTCCTTCCAGTTTACCAATCCTTAATCTCTCTCTGTCTCTCACCCACCCTCTCCCCATTCCTCTCTCTCACACACATGCACAAACCTCCCAGAAAAATTAAATACTATGTTTTCTTTTGCTGTGTAGACTAGCAATTAGTAACATTTTAAAGCTTCATAATGAATTTAAAGTAATACAAAGAGAACAAAATCAAAAATACAATCCTGGCATTCATTAAAGGTTGTGCTTCACAATATTAAGTAAAATAGCAACTTCTGCTAAGCCTATGTTCTAGAATGGCATTTTCCAACCTGTATCTTCCAACTGTCCTGATTTGACAGCCCTGAGTTCCTCTGTTATCCCACTTTTCTGCTACTTTAAAATGTTCCAGTTCTCACTTTTTCACCCACTTCCCCCCTTCATCTTTATCTCTTCAGTTACTTCAAACTGAGTTTGAATTGCAGTAGTTTGCACTTAATTTACTCAGCAGGGAATAAGAATCTTGCCCTTTTCAGTAGGCCCAGGCAAAACCAACTGCTGAAGCTTCCGTCCTTTCTCTCATTAATGACATTTGCCATCTTGACCAAATTCTAAAGTTCCTTGGCCATACAGTCAAATGTTGCAGAATATGTCAACCAGGTGCCCTCCAGATGTGTCAGACTCCAGCTACCTGTAATTATGGTAGTGATATTCCAATACATAAAGAGAGCAATGGGTTGGAGAAGGCTGCTCCAGATGCTGGAAGACAGGGCCAGAACAGACGGCACTTGAAAGACACCTTCAGGGCATCATCAGAATGCGGCATTTACATGCTGCATGCTCTGATAGTGCCCTCAAGCTGCCCAGAAGCTGGGTGGCTACCCAGACATGAGTGGCTTCAAGATGCTCTGGTTCTACAGCATTTTGATGCTGCACACCACCAGAATATCTTGAAGCCACCATGGGGTCATGCCGGAGCCACTAAAGGTGGCTTTTTCACATCCCAAAAAGGAGTGGATCTTTGCCACTCCTTTTTAGGCCAGGTTCAAGGTGGATTAGGTAGGGCCACAGCATTTGATTGCCATGGCCCCAATCCATCTTCAAAAGGGGCGGCTGTCTGTTTAACTCCACAGTTATCTCTTTCCTTCCCCATTTCCCCAAACTTTTTAGGACTGTAAAGAGGGTAATGCAAAATTTCGATTTTCTGTAAAGAAAAAAAAATCATCATTATCATCATCAGCAGCAGACAGTGTTCCTGCCAGTCTCTTTGATGGACTAGCACTGTCAAACATCCTATTGCATTTGCTGGATAACTCCATGAGAAGATTTGGAAACTTTTAACATCCACTCTTAGAAATATATGCTAATGGTAGAAATTATTGGAGTATTAAAAGAGATTCATTTCCTTTTAAAGAGGTATATTTCTCATAAGTGTGTCCAAGGGTTGTTAGATCATATCTGATTAAGTGTATGAGAATGAAACAGCCTTTCTCTGGGAGTCTGGCTAGAAGAAGAGTCAAACCCCCACTGGCCTCATAATTGAGTGATTTGTGAGCTCCGTCTTTCAAACATACAAAAAAAGCATATGTTAATTTTATCTTTCTGAAAAGTGTATATTAGGCACATTATTATAAGTAACAAGTTATGATGGAGAAGCACCAGAGATATCTAAACAATTGTTGTTGTTTTTGTTGTTTTATATCCTGTCTTTCTCTGAATTTAGGCACTCAAGGTGGTTCAAGCAGATTTAAAACAATACAAGTTAAAACAATACAAAAACAATTAAAATGTATAAATGTCACATTTAAAAAAACATTGAACATGAAAACAATGTATTTTTTTTTAAAAAAAAAAACCTCTGTACAAACCTTAAATCTGAATTGCACAGCATTTCAAAGCCCTCAAACCTTCATCAGTCTAAAAAATGTTTTTCTGGTTGGCAAAAGGAAAACAGGGATGGGGCCAACCTAGCCTCTTTAGGGAGGGAGTTCCAGATCTTGGGGGCAACCACTGAGAAGGTCTTCTCCCTTGTTCCCACCAAATGAAGTTGAGAGGGTGGTGGGACTCTCCAGATGATCTTATACCTCTAATTGGCTCAGAAACAATGAGGGATATCCAAATCTTGTTCCAGATTTGTTATTGTAATTTCTGACTTATGGTGATCTTGAGGTGAACCTATTACAGGGTTTTCTTGGCAAGATTTATTCAGAGGGGGTTTACCTTTGCCTTCCTCTGAGGCAGAGAGAGAGTGGCTTGCCCAAGACCGCTTAATGAGTTTCCATGGCGAGCAGGGATTTGAACCCTGGTCTCTAGAATAATAATCCACTGCTCAAACCATTATATCACACTGGCTTTCCTTCCTCACCATAACATGCATATGTATTTGAAAATGCCATAGCCATACACCCAGAGATTGAAACTATATTTGTTAGACATGAATTACTATATTGGTTCAATGAATGCTTCAAATTATCAGTTTAAAAACTCTGCTACAGAACATGAACACACACCCAGAAACAAAGACCTTTACTCGCCAGACTTCCACATAGCAAATGTGTCTCTCTTCCCCAAAGGCCAGCTGCCTCCTCCTCCTGAAGAAAGAAAGAGACAGCCAGCAACATTCTCCCCCTTTAATGTTCCAGCTGGAAGCAAACAAATGCCTCCACTGTTCTCCGCTTTCCACCTACTCTAATTTAATAGGTGCATTACTATGTATATACTGATTGCTGGTGTGTAAAGAGTGGAATTAGAGAAGAGGAGGGATAGGGAAATCCAGAAATTTGGACTCTTTGATTAACACACCTTTATACTTAATATGCACTTAAGCCATTGATCAGTTAATTGCACCAGCTATTCAATTAAGCCATTCATGTCTGTCATGGTATGTTCCAAAAGTACCATATATACTTATTATACACTTAAGCCATTGAACCGTTAATTGCACCAGTTATTCAATTAAGACATTCATATATCCCTCCTACAGCTGGCTGCAAAAGGGGCCATATATACTTATAGGAACAAATTATACAGGGCAACAACTGGTAAACATTTCAGATTGCTGCTGAATGGAGTGACTCATTAATGTTCATTCTCATTTGTGGCTTATTCCTCAACAATGGATCTGATATTTTTTCTTTGCTGAAATGTGAACATAGCCACTTAAGGACTGATTGATGTTAAGGGCATGGCCGTATGACTCATACTTGTGAGCAAAGATACACTACTTCAGCACAGATACATCAAACATGGGGGGGGGGGAGACAGGGAGAGATGAAAACATTAAAAAGAAAAGCATAACCCAGGGCTGTGAGACACAGGAGCCTCCAGTTTCTTTGGCCTACAACTCCTATCAGCCCCATTCTGTAAAACAAAGCTGAAGGACTGTGAAAGTTATGGAGGGTCAAAGCTCCGCATCCATCTGCTGGGCCAAATTCATCAAACCCATCACATTGTATTTATGGTAACGGAGTGCAACAGGCTAATGCAATAAGCTTACAGTAAAAACATGAGCATTTCTCCCTGATAACAGTAATAAGGGGGGAATTGGTTAATGTTTAGATTTATCATAATTAAAGATTAATTAAAGGTAGGATAAGAAAGGGATTCCTCCACCCCCTTTTCAATGGGAGATGCTCTGCAGATAAAACACCAGTCTGTGTGAAAGGTCTCACCTCCAATATGAGAATAAGGCAAGGAACTCCTCCCCCCTCAAAATATCTGCACAAAACAACTGTCTTTTCTCTTTGGGAAGCCAAGCATGCATATACACAAAACAAGCCCAGAAGAACTATCTGATTGATGAGAAAATATAAACACCCCATCTTAATTTTTAAAACATCCATGAAAGAAGACAGCAACTATTCTACAAGAGGGTATCGTAAAGTTTTAATTATCACCTTTAAAAAATTTTAGACAGAAAGTTTGTTTTGATTTGTAGTTGTTAACTTATCTCTACGTAGTCTCTACTCAGATTTACATTTTCCCCAGTGCTTCTTGACCCTCTGAATACTGTTATTGTAGAAGTCTGCAAATTGCACCTTAAACCACTCTTCCACTTCATGAATGATGTCATCTGTGTTATTAAATTGGTGAACTTGCAACAGATTTTTCATTTTGGGGAAAAGAAAAAGTCACTTGGTGATGATGACACTGACAAAATTTCACCAATATACCATGATAATTTCTGGGTGATAATTATTACTTTACGATACCCCCTCATAATTCAGTGCAATTATGCAATGAGTGTAGAAGTCTCACAAATTCAAGAAAAATATCTTGCAGGCCATCTTTCAGGCAGGGAGAAAGTTCTATGGTTTCTTCATTCTCATATGTGATAATGAGATGAGCAAGGGTTAAGCTAGACTTGCTTACAGAAGGCCACCTACTTCCACAAAAAGTCCTAACAGCAAAGACTGCACCTTATTCCCCAGCTGTACAATGGCAGCAGGTTGGTGCTTGGGAATATTCCTGTGGCTAATCAGTGGCTGTTTGGGTTGGGGACAGAGCTACATCCAGGTTCTTTCCTGCTATTGTTGTACAGCGGGAAAAGGCTTTTCTAGGCATCAGTTCATTCCATGCATCTGAAGAAGTAGTTCAAGTCTACAAAAGCTACGACTTCTTTTGCAGAGTCTCAAAGGTGTTGCAAGATGCCTTTGCATAGTGCTGAAAAGTGTTACACAAGGGAATTCTAGATGCCC